TATATATATATATATATATATATATATATATATAAATATATATATATACATACAGTCCAAACCCCAAAAAATATGACAGGGTTAATCGCTGAATGTTCCTCTCAGTCCTGATTAAAATCTGTGGTTAAGTTCAACACACATTCCTGAAACATCATTCTGTGGAATTATATTGAGGGTCTGTATATGATTACCAAAATAAATCGTTAACGGATTTTTTTTTTCCTGCAGTTAAACCACCCACTCTCTACAGCTCGCCCACACGAGCTTTCTCTCTCCCTCTTCCTGTCTCTCTATCCCCCTCTCTATCGTATCATTCCATCAGTTCTCCATCCTTGAAGAGATGCACTGTGCTGTGAGATAAGCTTCACATACCGAAGTGATATTTCACATTTCTGACTTTTAAAAGCAGTTATGATTTCTTTGAAGAGAAGCAACAATCAGAGATAAAGCTGACAGGGAGCTTAAAAACATCATTAGCAAAGAACTAACCTAAAGTCTGATATTTCATCACAAAGCCAAAAAACGCTCCACAAATTGGTCCAATTTTAGTCACAGACCTTGATTTTTAGTATTTGCCTTCATAACTTGGAAACTCTTCAAAGGGAGGGATGCATTTATCAATGATGATGAAAAACTAAAGTGACACTCACCACACTGTGTATCTGCGGCTTGCGTCTCTTTGCCAGGTCTATTATGTTGATGCCATTATAATAGAGGTTCTCAATGCAGCCATGGAAGTTCTTCCCCAGGAAGGTGCCAGGTTTCCCAGGAAGAGGTATTCCTCCAAAGCTCAGCTGTGATGAGAGGAGAAAAAAAAGATTGATTAGCACCACAAGCACAAATGTCTCCACATTTATAATAAAGAAGATGTGAACCATAAGTCTCTTTCAGCTCCACAGTATGTATGATGTCCAGGGGACATGAGTGGAACCTGACTGCTCAACACACACATTCTTACCATGTTGTGCTTGAACAACTGGGCCATTTATTCAGCAAGTGAGAAAAGATCACTTTCTCACAACAGTATCTGAGAGACTTTCTGAGCAGTGGTGCTCTGAACCTGATTTCATGGTTCAGTGTGCATCGGCTTGGTCAAACTGCACACAGAATACCTACTTTCACACGCCGGGCATGATTCCACATCTCAACAGCGGTTTAAAAAAAACTCTTCTGCTTTCTCCATCACAGCCATGCCCCTGTTTTCTCAGTGGGAAATAATCAAACATGGCGACAGTGAACTGGCCTGTAGGGAGACCTGACTTCAGCCTAAAATCAGGGCCAGAGCAGGCAGACTGGGAACAAACCCGAATAAAGGTCAAATGCAAAAACACCTTTCCACCAAAGCATTGCTATAAAGAACTGGAATCATTTCCCAATGTCAGAAAAATCCCCAAAAAGCCACATTCAACCTTGTTCACATATAAAATAAGCTTACTATGATCACAAACTCTTACAAGTTATTGAGGGTCTTAAATTGAAATCCTAAGTATCCCCCCAAAAACCTAAAACACTTTAATTTATTTAATTCAAAATTGCAGAAATCCTTGCTTAGAAGTAAGCTATTACAACTCTTAATGGCTTATTAATGGGTGAATGTGTTCCTGAACTGATTATTGCGCCTTTTTTGTTCATTGTATTTATTTTCTCATACTTACAGTGCAAAAGAAATAAGTAAAGAAATTCTTATATTAAGTGTATTTACCCTAAATATAGGTAAATAAGATAATCTGCCAATGGAATTAATATATAAGATAATTAGAAGGTATGCACTTGAAATAAGACAATGTACTTGATTTTTGTTATTTTAAATGTAAATTGTCTTTTTCAATAGCAAAGTGTGTCACTTTACTCCTCAATTCAAGAAAATAAACCTTATTTTGCAGTTTATTAAGAATATTTAAGCATGATATTTCCCATGATATTTCAGGCTCTATACTTGATGTGGTAGTCTTTTTCTTTTAAAAACAAGGTTTGTGTTTAGTGTTTTTTTTTTTCCAACACAGCTGTGAAGCTGACAAACTCTAGGTTCATTTTATCAAGAAGAAACGTCGAACACACGATGACTTCAAGCTCCGAAACAAAAGGGCCACTGTTTACAAGGTCGAAATACAACAGCAACGTCCTCGGAGGCTCCTAGCAATGTTGAATAAAAGTATAGTGTCTTTGTCTAGTATTTAATTTTAAAGGAGCGCTTCCAGCAGTTACACAGAGCACACTTTGTTTACTGCAGTGCTGCAAGGCTCCCCCCTAATGCTGCTCATCAGAGTGCTGTTCATGATAAGGTTGTCAGTGGAGAAATATTTACACAGCTGCTCTATCTTCTCTGCAGGTTATTCAATCTAGCTAACAACTCACCTCGTAGTCCACCTCCAGAGACTGTCCTTCCCCGCTGGTTTGGAAGTGCTGTGTGTGGGAGTCCACAGTGAGGTTGACCTGCCTGTTGAAGCGCTCGATGTGAGCAGAGTGCCAGTGCTGGTCATCCAGCAGGCTGCCCACGGTAACTGGAACACGGCGGCTGCTGAACCTTGACCTGCTATCATCTGGACAAAAGGAAGACAGCAGCAGAATCTCAGTGAGCGATCAAACGTGTTCTGGTGGACCTGAGGGGAGCACAGCAGCAGCTCTTCATTAATACCTTTCAAGGTGAAAAAAAAAAGAAACACACCGTGTGATTCCAATGAAATTGGCTTATTGCGTAAAAACTATGAAGATGTCAATTCAATATTTAATCTTAAGAGAGAAGGTAAACAAACACATAATAAATCGACCCATTAGTGTAATGAACAAACCCCCAGGTCTAATCTCTAATATTAAGATTATACAATCTCAAATAAAATGAGAGTTAGGAAATTAAGTAGTTTACTAAAGCTTTAAACCCAGCACGCTATACAGAATGCATGTTCTATAAATATTTTTTACAATAATGTTTGGTTACTACATAAATGGATCAATAATAATCGCCTTAATTTACTTAGCAAATCGGAAATGTTTTCCCAAAATGCAATATGTTAATGCTGTATAATAGATATGTATGTACCCCTAATATGTTATTTAAAAGCATGTCACTCAAATCTAAACATGCTACTAAAGACAATATGTCAGGCATTCATTTTTTTATTTTATTTCTGTTTTCTTTTTTATAATTTTTGTACTGTACCATAATCAACACCATAAGCTGCCATGCAACGATCCTCCCTGATGCTTATATCATGTATAAGCTCACTTATCAACCCCTCCACTTTGATCTTAATTACATTTTATATATTTCTTCTTTTTTTTCTTCTAAAAATGAAAATGAAGGCTCTTAATATTCCTGTGCTTGTTATTATTTTTCACATTTCATTGCTGAAAAGCAAAATCACCTCACCTGTTATTTGTCTTTGGCACGAAACACTAGGCTTGAATTTTAGAGTTCATAGCAATGTGTAATTTGGTTATAATTAATATATTAGTTCAGTAGTTATATTAATCAGCATTCTAACTACTTCATTAGTTCATGGGTCTAAACCACTGAAATAAATTACTGCAAATATTTAATATGTTGTCAATATTTAAATATTTAAAGCTGTACCTGTTTAGTATTTTATATTATTTCAACTGGTGACTTAATAACGGTAAAATAATCCTTTAAACAAAACAAAAAAACAAAATGCTGTTTTTGGCAGTTAAATAGAGGCACACTCACACACAGTTTAATTTTGCACCTTTGTGTTAAGATGGAACAGTTTGAACAAATATTTTTGGTCTTCCATCTGTTGAGTAAAAGCTGGAAATAAAAAGTCAACCCAATCACAGAGGCCTCCTAGAAAATAAAGCTCTCATATCCTTTCAATCACTTCCAATCTCTGGCTCCATCTCAGGTAATGATTCTCACAATCACCACAAGGACGGCAAAAGGAAGGAAAACGAGTGATTCTCAGGAGAGATAATGGGAGGGCGCAGTTCACCTAAGTTGAGATAGAGGTCCAGTCTTCCTCGGTGCAGCTCCAGTGTGATGTAGTCTCCCCGCTGCCCCACTCCATGCAACAGGACACCCTCCGCCTGGTGGCTCTTAAAGCGTAGAGAAATTACATCCTTCACCGTTGACATGGACTTTTGGTTGAACCGATACAGTAGTGAGCTTCTCCCATCGAAATCTGCCACGTATGATTCTGTGGAAAAATCAGAAGCAGTGTGATGCGGAATGTCTGATAACTAAAAGAATAATAATGTTTTTACAGCAATGATCAGAAATGAGAAAATTCTAGTTTATTGCTTTGATGCTAATTAATTTTGCTTTCTTACAGTAAATTACTTTACTTTCAACATCATTAAGAATAAGGTCATCAGTTACATTCATCTCCCAGAGCTAACTCTCACTGCTAGACACCATGCGGCTGGGCTCTGTGAATTACCGCCTGCATGTTTAAATCTATGCACAGGAAGACAGTAAGAGCTCACAGCTTCAGCACTGTCCAACTGTCATACTATCCCATACCCTTCACTTCCACATACACCTTCAAAACTAATAAAGCATTGTAAAATACAATTATAATGGTATGAGATACAACAGTTAACACATGTATGAGAAATGGGAGAAGGGAGATGTTCTCATCAATTCTTTTTATCAAGTCAAAGGCGTTCTCTCCTTGGCCAGAAACAAAGGATGCAACAGCGATAAAGATATTTCACTATTTCATTATTTTTCATTTTGGATTAATCCTTATGCCATTTTTGTGTTGTCTTAATTTTCTGATCTGGTTTTATGTGGGTATAACTGTGTCTTTTTTTTTTTTAAGGCAAACGGAATTCAACCTTGGCCTGGATGAATATGAAGGTAATTCGACTTTTTCAGAAACTGTATTTTTCTGCTACTAACTACCAATTAAAAAAGTTCACAATACAAACCTTTGGCTGAAACTTTTTAATTTTCATGTTTTTTTATTCACCAAGCACTTTCGTTTAGAGGTCTTTGTCATTGTTTTTCACAAATTGTATCATTTTTTTAGTCATGTAGGCTCCCATTCAATCTTCAAATTTGCTTGAAAAAAAACACATCATTTATTTTTGTGTTTCATTTTTTTAAAACACGACAACAAAATGAATTAATCATCACCCTAAATGTCTTGCAAAGGAGAGAGGTCAAAAACTACCTAAAGATACATGTGCAGAATTCTGAGGCAATAGATTAGTGGTATTTAGGATGTGACAAAAGAAATAATACAATTTGGATATTTTTTTATATCTTTAAAAAGAAAAAAAACATATTTCTAAATTATTGCTTTAAGCATAATTCAGGGCTGGTAAACATTCTCAGATGTGTTCACTATAACAAATATGTTGCAGATGACATATCTGGAATATAATGATTTTGAGGATTGAATATAGTGATGGTGAGCATACTAAATGATGTTCTTTGACTTTAGTAGCATACACCTTTTTAGTGAATTGGTCACTTTCTTCCATTTAACCATTATGCACTCTTGTTTTAAGTTCAAAGGACGGGAATTCTTTAGGAAGGACCAGGAATGACTGTAAAATAGATTTAATGATTCTGCTCTCTGTGGAAATAAACTGACAATTTAAATCCAGGGCATTTATACAATCTAATATTTACAGTTTATAGGTTTTAACCAGCCATAGTGCACCAGTTAATTGCAGAGTCTGAACAAGTCTATATATCTGTAAAAAGACAAACTGTGCTGATGTTCTTTGTATGTTATTAGACCACTTAAAACACCCACACTGTTGCAATGAGGAGAAAACATTTCTAATTTTCCATGGAAGCAGAAGGATATCAGCTCCGTTTTTTGGAGAAACGACTAAGTGAAAAAATTATGAGCTGTTTGATTGAAGGAGATAATATGAAAGTAAAGTTTGAAGAGAGGGTTGCTAATCAAACTGAACTTGATTTATTGTTTCTATGACCGCAGGACAGTCATTCTCTCATAGAAATATTAAGGCAGAGAAAAACATTGCTTGGAATAGCAGCACAGAAGAAACCCGAACCAAATTGCACTCAAGAGAATGGCCGTCTGCCTCAACGATACTCTGCAGTACCATGTGGTGCTTGGCTATCATAAAACCGCTCACTGTGGTGTGTTCCGACACTGTTCCACAGCGCAGTAATTCTCTGGCTCATCTAGTTAGGGCCGCCTCACAATGCGTGGGTGAGGTGTGCCAGTAAATCCCCATTAAATGTCTTATTGAGGACTGCTCAGAATATAAATGGAAGTTCGCTTGCCCTTTATCAATGTGCACAGCCACAGAAGTCTGCTTTTTGCTTCATTACAGCCAAAGGTTTACGGCCATCTTAGCAAATACTTAAATACAAAAATGTATACTGACATATGAGTGTTTTCACATTATATTTAAGAATTACAGTAATGTTTTCCTTCAAAAATAGTTCTATAAGTAACATATTAAAGGAAACACACATTAACAGCATGTGAAGCACATGTACAGATTGCTTTCAGTGTAAAACCTTGCCGTCTGGCGTGAGTCATTACAGGCTGATGCACAAGAAAAGCAGCAATTTGCATATTTGCTTCAAGGAGCAGCACGCTGCTGCTGCTACTGTACAGCGACTGCTGCTTCCTCTTCCTGTGTGGCACCTCTGGTGTGTGTAATAGTTTCAAATTACATTCATCAATTCACTGAGAGTTGCTAGTATGGCTTTTATTGTCCTTAACACACAATTTATGCAAACAGTTTGAAAGCATGTAAAGAAACGATAAAGATTTTTATCTGTAGCTACTTAGCGTTGTGCATTAAAGGTACAAGCCTTAAATTTACATCAAACTGAGGCATTTTTTCCAACAAAATGTACGATGTAATGTATTTGTGGACCTGACTTTACCACATGTCAATGAATGTTCCAGGCTTTAGCTTTTTTAAACCACATGCAAAATTTGATAAAGCCACAGCTTAAAAGGTTTGGTAAATGTTACATAAACAAAAACGACTCTAAGGAATAACCATTTTACAAGATTGGATCAGTCTTTCATTTCAATGGCTCTGGGCTAACATACCTTGGAAATTAATACTGAAGTTTAACAGCATTCGAAGCAATTTTATTAGCGGATTTCCCGACATCAGCGATTTAACTCCCAAATGCCTGAGATACAGCTGCTACAGAGATGATGCAGCTATGACTAAAACACCTCACCAATGTCATGACGACAGCCTGTAACATCTAACACTATCTTATGTAGACCGTTCACCCACCCAAGGAGCCCTTAGGCAACAGATGGAAAGTCAAAACATCCCTTACTAATTGATCTGTTCATAATTATCTCACTTTTAGAGCATTGGGGGTGACTGTAACTGTAACACTTGTATGCCACTCAGATTGCTGATTGGAGCTCTTGATTCATCTATCTCAGTGTTTTGGGCAAGACACTTCACGCATCTTGCCTGTTGCTGGTTGTCAGAGGGCCTGGTGTCACTAATGTATAGCAGCTTCACTTCTGTCAGCCTGTCCAAAGGCAGTTCAGGTTACAGTGTAACTTATTACCATCAGCATGGGACTATGTTTGCCAATGAGTGAATGAATGAATGGATGTAGTGTGATTTTGCAGTCCTCAGATTTGAAAAAGCATTTTAAAAGTATCATTCATCACTGAAATGTCATCTTTAACAATCAGTGCAACTTTTGATATTGAAAAGTGTATAATACAAAATGGAAACATCAAAAGTAACAATATAACAGACATGATGCAGCAGGTATCAAACCTGGCATGTTACATGTGTGTTATATTAAAATGATGTAATATTCAAACTTAGTTTGAACTACATTGTTTTAATTTTATTTTTTCATTGACATCAGTGATTAGAACAATCAGTAAATTTTTTTGAGTCAGTTCATAGCTGCATGCTAACAGAGGAGGACTTTGCAGAGTACATTTATAAGAGAATACTTTCAGCATTGCTTCTATTTGTTCACATTTTTAGGTTTTTTTTTTAAATGTAGTTTTATTTACACACGGTTTCTTGATCTACTTTGCATTCCTAACTGATGAAAGCTTGTTTCTTTATTTTAAACAATATACTGTAGAACATCTTTTAATTACACAAAATAACAAAACAAAACAGGCCAGCACAGGTCATACAACAATAAAGCAATCTTAATGCTGGTCATGCTTAAAAATAAGGCAGAACTTTGTTTGTATAGTAATATGTTTAAGAGAAGTAGCTTGAATGGGGTTGCCAGATTTTGTTAAAGGCATCTAAACTACCCTTTGTTATGACACTGAGGCACTCCTTTGGGAAGACCTTAAATGCCTCTATGTGCCATAACCAAGAGGGGCTGCCCCGGAAAGCACTGTAACAAGATGCATTACCATGCTAAGAGTAAAAGTTTGCATATAAACAACATCTGCTCCATTAACGAGGTCAGTACTTCCACAGATAGACCAAAAAGAAACAAAAGACGGCCCATAGGGACTGTTTAACAAAAAATGGAACAGACGTCTGTGACATTTTTCCACAATATATTTACATACATCGCAAAATATGATAAAAAATAGGTGCCTACGCTTCTTTAACATAATATACAGCGAGGGGAATCTTTAAGTGTGAAACTTGCGCATAAACTGCGCTTGAGCAAAATTATGTTCTGGTTCTGAGTCTGCTATGGATACACTTTTTTTAAATTATAAGACTCTTTATGTATTTTCCTTTAAAAAATCATACTTAATTTGTATTTCTTTAAAAGACACACAATGTACCTTTTCAAACTGATCAAAGACAGTTTATAAATGTTTCTTTACTAACTCCCAAATATACTGAGAGTAATGCCTGGAAGGAAGGCTCTAATTCTAAAAAGTGGCTGTACTGCACTTAAAAAATCCCCCCTTCCAATTTGGATTGTTTTGTATTATAAGGAGTAAGCTGTGTTTGTTTTTTTATACAGTAGTAGTCATTCAAAATTTTCCCAGTTTCCTTGATGGGACCTTGGCTGGTCCTCTGCAATTCCTTTTTAAACATCAATCTTTGTACTAAAATATTCTGTCATGATTTTTGGACAATAAGATCTAAAGAGAAGCGTTGTCTCCTGGTCAGACCCTCTAATTCAGTGAAAGGGTGGAATCAGAGTAAAAAAATATGCATGATCATGAAAATGCCAGTGGCTGGAAGTTTAAGGGAATTTTGCTGCCATTCGGCTGGCTTTTGACTGGGATTTTGAATTCAATTCAATTCAGTTTATTTATATAATCAATTCACAACACATGTCATCTCAAGGCACTTTACAGTTCAACCAGATCATACAGTCAAATTGATTCAAAGTTTTCTATCTAAGGAAAACCAGTTGATTGCATCGACTCATTGACTCAAATACAATTCTTTACACTAAGCGTGCTTGTAGCGACAGTGGAGAGGAAAAACTCTCTTTTAACAGGAAGAAACCTCCAGCAGAACCAGGCTCAGTGTGAGCGGCCATGTGCTGTGGCCGCCTGGGGTTCAAGGAGACAGAAGCAGAGACACAAAAAGCAGCTGTAAAAGGCGGCCCCGTCCAGGAAACACACAGCCAGGCAGACGAGCACAGAGCCAGCTCCTCTGAATGGCTGCTACTGTCATATATGATATATAAGAAGGGTGGTGCCAACTCTGTTGTTTAGGTATCTGAACATATCGTATTTAGGTAATTATACTCCTCCATCACCTCCACTTCTGCTTCCATAATGGTAATAGTAGTGAATCTCTTACTGTTTCTCCTGAAATCTACAATCACCTTACTTCTGTTATTCACATTCAGGCTGACGGGATTTTTTCAACAATATTCCCCAAGAAGTACACCAGGTCCTTGTAGGCAGCTTTTTGTCAATCTCTGACCACACATCTACAGTAATAGTTTTTTCTTTATTTCATTCTTTTTTTAGCTTGCTTTCCAACTTATCTCTACTGCCTCAGTGCTGTATCTTATCTACATTTTAAGTTGCCTTGATATACTCTTCAATAACTCCATATCAATCAGGTTATTTTCTTCAGATACATCTCACCATTATGCCGGGAATGGAGAAATCTACATGTGGTTGGCACAGTGCATCCTTTTCTATAGCCTAAAAACAAACTCAAAGCGCTTCTTCAGCATCCACTGACCATATTCTAAGAGTTTTCTTTATTGCAAGCTGCCCCTGAAAAAGGGGTTTATTTTATGAGCAGGAAATACTGAGTTATGACCTAATTTTCCAAGAGGAAATTCTGCTTAAGGGATGGAGCATCAAGTGTAATCAAAGAGTAAGGCTGGATTAAAATCAAAAGTTACTGCTTCAAATGCATTGGGCAGTTCTGTTTGTTGCTTTGCAGAACATGCCATGTCGGTAACAACAGATGCTGCAAAAAGTTCAATCTTTGGGTTGCAGAGACAAAACATTGCCTTTGCATTGATAATCCACCTTTTTTGCTTTTGCTGGCCTTTTCTGAATCCATATCTGCTCCTTTAGTGAGAAAGCAAGAAACCGGATAGTCATAGTACAATAAGTAGCTTCTACTTCAACAGCTTACTACTGAACTTTCAATCTGATAAGGAAAGTGTGTGTACAGCTGAGCCTTAATGTAGTATAGACCATATGTATGTCATATAATATCAGCAACAGCTGTGGTATCATCTTTACCCCTAAATAATTCAAATGCTTAAAAGAAGGTGAAAATATGCTGATATCCATTCACATGGTGTGTGTTTTTAAAGTTGCAACATTATTGTAACCAAATATTTCTAATGAAGTAAGCAAACGTTTAAAAAATAAATAAAATAGCCTTAAATCATTGAAATTCCAGCATTACGTGTTCTGTTTTGAGGTGTAAAATTTTGGAATTCCTGTAAAGATGTTTAACATCATAGCAGAAGGTCTATATAAATATATATTCACCAATTTCTGGAAAATCAAAATTGACATCACAACTTCCTGATGAATGTTTGATTCCTCAGGAATATATGACACAGCTTCTTAAAACCAAATGAAGAAAATATTCTTTATTACTATCCATCAAGGGTAAATAGCACCACAATTCTAAGTAGGTGGTAAGAAAGTATACCTCTGAGTACTTTTAAATTGTAGGATGAACCTCGGGATGTTGGTTACTCACTGTAGGAACATCCGAACACCTCCACTCTCAGGCCCATCCATCCACTGGGGTTCCATTCAAGAGGGACAAAGCGCAGGAAACGTGTCTTCACAGGGTGGGACAGCTTGTTCTGGATGACGGTTTCTGAATTCACATTCCCATCAAACTTCTGCAGAAAGAGAGTGAAGACAGAGTAGGCTTTATACAGAACAAGCCAGTGATCATCAACTTAGGTCTCATGAGAGCTGCAGGATCGAGAAATGCATATTTCCTGAGCTGCTTGAACAGAAAATCTAAATCCTGCAGCAGCCAAAATAAAAACACAATATAGACAGGGCCAAGGTAAAGCATGCCTCTGCTTCTTGAATAAACTAGTTGATGTAAAGTGATAAGAATGATGATGTGTTGAAGAAATGTGGGAATATCCGTTCTAACAGCACCATGAGAGGTGGAGGAGAAATGACCACTGAAGCAGCCTGAGGCAAAATAAGGGCTCTCATATTGTGTTTTTCTCCCCGCAGAGCTAAAAGCAAAGACCTCTGAGTACAACTATGAGATGTCATTCTTCTTCTACTTTTTTCCATCCCTCGCTGATTTCCAGTCTGCACCAGATAACGCCAGAGGACATAAACAGCGAAACAGAGTGAAAGATGGAGGCTAAAACAGAGACAAACAGCCTCTCTTCTGAGATGACTGATTAGCAGCACCACCATAACCGATTCCTGGGCAGGTGACATATCAAATCAATAAGCACAAGAAAGAACCAAGATGATAGATCTTTGACAGAGAGGCTTCAGGCTTTTAGGAATAGTTCAACACAGTCAGACAGGAAAAATCATTCACCTTGCTTTTGGCAACATGAGAACACAACGGGAAGGAGCATGGAATGACCATAGGATTCTTGCGGTGCACTATGGAACAGAGGCATCATTAAATGTAGCGGGACCCAGCATCTTACTGGATAATCAAAGCAGCAGTAGAGTGCTGAGGCTGATTTATGCCAGTGCTTTCACCGTTTTGAGCCATGGCCTGAGTGGAGCCTGGTGGCAGAGTCTTAAAACAGGAAGAGCTGGGCTTATTACAACATGGGCTATAATTCACATCAGCACAGTGGGGATTAACTAATGGCACTGAGCTTTACTTACAAAGTTAATGTGTTTGCATTACCACAGCTCTGCTGTGGAATGCCTCTGAAGAAAATTAACCAGGCTGAAGAGTACAACATCAAGATGTACAGTATGGAGGTTGAAAACACTTGTATTTCCACATCAATATTTTGATGAAAACAGCCTGCTGTGGACGTTGCACTGAGTTCCAGTTCTAAAACCAATTCAATTTAACTGCTGTTAGGTACTTAAAGGCTTGCGTTACAGCACTGAAAGTGAGAGTTCAGATCCTAAGTATTTTCAGATCAAATATTCATCCAGAGGGATAAGTAAAATGGAAGGTTGAAGGAAAAGAGGCATTCTTAGGAATAATTTATGAGTAAAAATAGCGAAGCAGGGGGAGGATGTGTCTGATTTTCTCAGTGAAGACCTACTGCAAGTCCACCACGCCTGAATCAAATAACTGGAAAGCCTCTCAGCATGCAGTCAAATTCTAGACTGCTGCTAATGACCTTATTATCTGATTTAGTTGTGTTAAACCAGAAACACAACTAAAGTTTGACAGTTCTGGCCTACTGGCTGCGTTATAAAAACCCAAACCCAGTCCCCCCCCACACACAACTGTAACTTGGGTTGGGGTGGGGGATGACGAGGGTCTGTGATCAGGAAATGTCTTCTGCATTATTTTCATGTACAATAATACTCTGCTGACCCAAACTCTCCTGTGAGGTGAGAAGATAAACAAAAGGAGAAGGAACTTTACCTGAGCTAACCCTTGAGGAAGTGTGGGACCTGCTTTGCTCTGTAATGCTGCTTAGCCAAAAAGCAAAGCTCCCAATTTACTTCCAAAAAAGTTTAAAAACAATCCACTTGACTATGTTTCCAAGTTTGAAGACGTTTTGCTTCCCATCCAGGAAACTTTTCCAATTCAAAATGTCAGAAATAGCGTTGAGTTTGTGGATTTATATAGTAGTCCTTGTTGGGAAATTGAATGATTCAGTTCAGAAGTACATTAAAGTCAGAGTGGAGGAGCTATAAACCAGATCCAAGGCATGCAGAGAACTTGTAGGTGTAAATTTGTAAAAATACTTTATACGTAAAAAAACCATCCAGCCTTGTGCTAAAGGTCAGAGAAAAATAAATAGGCTAATCTTTTCCAGTTTTAGGTCGGCTAGAATGCTGTTTTAGGAGTTTTATTTTTGTCTTTTGTCAACTGTTTACACATTGTACTGAAGTGCAAAGTAACAAGTAAATTTCTCCACTGTGAGATTAATAAAGTCAGTCAATCAATACTGAACTACTGTATTCATATAACTCCTTTATTGGCTAATAGTCAACATGAATAACAAAGAATATATGAACATTAAAAAATCTTTAAAAGATTTCATCTTCTGCTTTTTAATGAGTCAAGAGTAAAAAGAGAGCATAAAAACAGAGAAAGCTTAGTTCGGAAAGGACCATTCTGGAAAGACTGACTGGTCCTTTTAAAGATTTTGGATTTAATACCTGAAGTTTTAAAAAAATCAGGAATAAAGGAGAGAGTTTGGCCATACAGGTCCATGGAAGTTTAATAAAGGGTTTTAAAATGAAGCCAGTTTTCACTCATCTGTAAACATCTTCTTCAAGGTTTAGGGGGCTATTCATGTATAGATGAGAAAGCCAGTATTGCTGCATCGGTTCTAATTCATCCCAACGGTTTTCTATAAGCTCAAGGTCATGACTCAGTGAAGGCTAGTCGGGTTTTTCAAGAACAAATCTTTATGCAGGCATGGGAGTAATTTGAATATCTAAATAAATCAATGTGATGATGTGACCACCCCCACAAAACAAAAAAAATGAAAATAACTCCGGGGGTTCAAATCAAACCCGAACAATAGCAGAAATAAAGTACCATCCTACACTTGATGCTAACTTAGCCATTGATCACAATTTGATTCCTAATTTCTTGTTCGTTTCCATCAAGACTTCTGTGAAAGATCTGAGATCAAAATCAGGATCAGCTTAAAGTTCTCAGAATCCATGTGATCGTAGTTAATTCAGACAAGGCAGAAGTTGTCTTGCGTATGCTAATAAGTTATTATTATCCAACAAAATACTCTCTGTGTGCCATTAAAAAAGCAGTTTTTACTGTTATATTGGGCCAGTTTTGACACAGGAAGCTATATATATTTTAATTATTTTACAGTCTGGCACAAAGAAAATAATTTAATCTGAAACAAGCTTAGCAGCAAAGTCTGCAAATCAAAGAGTATTTTAATCATTTTACAGTCTGGCACAAAGGAAATAATTTAATCTGAATCAAGCTTAGCAGCAAAGTCCAGCAAGTTCCAGCAATGCATAATAGTATGTTATACTTAGAATTAATTAATGACTCAATGATAATATTGCACAAACCAAACTGCACTTTAACACAAGACAACTAGTTTTCCTAAATAACTTTCATACTTGTATTTTACAACATGAAAAATCCCTTTTAAAACTGATCCAGTTTCTTGTTATTTGATTACACTCAGTAAAACTGGATCTGAGCCACATGTCCTCTAATTGACTCTGCAATCGACTCACTCACATAATGAAAACAGTCAGATGTACGTCATCTTTAGTTATTTGTATTCCAAAGAAATCCCACTTCAGGAGCAGCTCAGTGGCCATGCTGACGTTTGTGTGGAAAATGTTGCAGCAGAGCATGCCGTGTGTTCCAAGGAGGAGATGAAGTCTAGTCTGAGAATATGGGCCTGAGGGTCCAAATGACGTTCCAAAGGGCCGGGGGATCAGGGTCAGTCCCTATCCACCTAAGCAGCCTCACTCTATGGTGACTTCATTATTTCTATTTATGCTGCTGTCACTGGGAAACTGTTCCTCCCTGTTAATTAAGACTCTTTATGCTTCCTCTCCAGTGATGAGCTCCCTTGTGTCACTTTTACTTTTTTTTTTGCATACTGAACAAGCACATACGTTTATTTTAATCAATTCACTGGGGGACAAATTTTGCTTCTGGCAGCGAAGACGCTACTGTATGTGCTAGAAGGTTGGTGGGAAGTTAAACAGCCTTAGGCATCGCTACGTTAGGAGAACGTTACAGAAAAACTATGCTTAGAGGAAATACTGTAGTGATCTCAGTCTGTCAGCTGCAGGCCTCTGATATTTCTTCAGTCCAAAGCACAATATTTGCTTTTCTGTTTACTTCACAGTGTTTTGGTTAAAGCTGTGCGACTCCTTATTTACAGCACTTTGAAAAAATGAATATTTTACTAAATGTTTAAGATATTGTTTTCTAACCTATATCTTCTTTATAGGTCATCCCTGTCTGCTGTGTTCCTCAGTCTTTGTGATGCTGTTTGTTCAATAATGCTTTCTGCATAGATAAAGCATGGCTATGTACTGTAGACCTTCCTCCATGCTGTCTGTATAAAGGGCTTATAGACTAAAATACACATAAAGTATATATTCATACATTCATGGGGATATAGACAGATATAGAGATATATCTCAACCATAGAGATATGAGGTAGATGGACGAAAAACCTAATCTTCAGACAATGGGGAACAGAAGATGAGGTACCAGAGATTCTGTCATGGGAGGATAAGCCCCTACACGCGATGTACCACCAAAACATAATCAAAGTGGCAGATATTAAGAAATCCTACCAATGGCTAGACAAAGCCGGACTGAAGGACAGCACAGAGGTACTTATTATGGTGGCACAGGAGCAATAGAGGCCCAGATTTACCAGACAAGATCCCAGGTGCAGACTGTGCAAATAGGCCCCTGAGACAATCCAGCACATTACTGCAGGGTCTAAGATGCTGGCAGGGAAAGCTTACATGGAGCTCCACAAAAAAGTGGCTGGAATAGTGTACACGATCTGTGCAGAGTATGGGCTGGAAACCCCAAGGTCAAAGTAGGAAACACCTCCAAAGATGGTAGAGAATGATCAAGCCAGGATCCTGTGGGACTTCCAGATACTGACGGACTGAATGATAATGGCAAACCAAACGGTTTGCCACCACATTGTGGTGGTGGACAAAAAGTAGAGGAAAGCCATTGTGGTTGACATGGCAA